ATCCGTGACTGTAATGGAATTTGTGTCAACTTGCTGGTGGTCACTTAAGAACTGGGAGAATCTGAAATTATCCTTAAATTTATAGAAGAATGTCACCGGATGTTCTAAAAACATTCCACCGTGTACAATTCGTGTCTTACAACATGGCGAGACACCCATAAGCATTTGGTAACTTATATACCTACTTCTCATTTAAAATTACTAGTATATCCTGTTGTATCGTAATAATAATTTAAACCAATTTCCCAACCTGAATTGTCACTATGAACAGGATGAAGTCACTAATAATTGGTGTAAAATATTAGATTTACCCCTACCATGTGCAGGCGATGAGTCACACAATAACGTGGCTAAAGTAAATTGACCAGACCACACACTAGAAGGTGAAGGGACGACGACGACGTTTCGGTCCGTCCTAGACCATTCTCAAGTCAATTGTGAATGGTCCAGGACGGACCGAAACGTCGTCGTCCCTTCACCTTCTAGTGTGTGGTCTGGTCTACCCCTACCATTGTCTTTATGTCCTCTAGTGGGGGGAGGGGTTGAAAGAGTGAGTAACACAACTCCTACCAAGCCAAAGTGGACAGGCCACTACACTTTTCACCCCACTCATACTTCATCCTTATCCTATTTCTTGATTTAGCATCCTCATCTCTTATCCTCTTTCCCCCACCCACCCTTACCAAACCCTATTTCGTCATCGAACTGAACTGAAGTGTGAGTGTATGCGTGTAATTACCTGTGTAGTGACTGATGAGAGCTAGGCTCGTGGTATCCCGTCTTTCCAGCACTCTTTGTCATATGAGGATTTGAAACTACTAACAGTTTTGGCATCCGCTATCTTCTCACTTGTGCCAACTGTCTACTAGTCTGTTTGCAAAAGAGAATTTTCTAACGGTTCTTTCGGCAGCCTTGTTTCCTTAGCTTGAGTCTATAGCCTTTTGTTCTTGAAGTAGCAGCCTTTTGTTCTTGAAGTAGCAGCCTTTTGTTCTTGAAGTAGCAGCCTTTTGTTCTTGAAGTAGCAGCCTTTTGTTCTTGAAGTAGCAGCCTTTTGTTCTTGAAGTAGCAGCCTTTTGTTCTTGAAGTAGCAGCCTTTTGTTCTTGAAGTAGCAGCCTTTTGTTCTTGAAGTAGCAGCCTTTTGTTCTTGAAGTAGCAGCCTTTTGTTCTTGAAGTAGCAGCCTTTTGTTCTTGAAGTAGCAGCCTTTTGTTCTTGAAGTAGCAGCCTTTTGTTCTTGAAGTAGCAGCCTTTTGTTCTTGAAGTAGCAGCCTTTTGTTCTTGAAGTAGCAGCCTTTTGTTCTTGAAGTAGCAGCCTTTTGTTCTTGAAGTAGCAGCCTTTTGTTCTTGAAGTAGCAGCCTTTTGTTCTTGAAGTAGCAGCCTTTTGTTCTTGAAGTAGCAGCCTTTTGTTCTTGAAGTAGCAGCCTTTTGTTCTTGAAGTAGCAGGTATCAGGAAATCTTTTTTTAATTTTGTCGATTCCTATTATTATTTAGGTCGTAGTTATCATATCGACTCTTTTTTTTCTATTAGGTTTGATACATCGAACACCTCTAGCCACTCACTCCTTGTAGCTCTTGTTCAGTTCCGGACAATGGAATTTAATAGCTTTCAATTAATTCCATATGCCAAGTGTTGCTCCATATATTTTTTCGAAGGTCATCTTAAAGGGCACGACACATTAAACAGAGGTGCACATTATACAATACTAGCCAGAGGCGATGGTTGTACCACTAACGAGAGGTGCCAATTGTACCACAATAATCAGAAGCGGTGGTTGTACCACACTAACCAGGGGTGCTGATTTTACTACACTAAACAGAGGCGATGTTTGTACCACATGAACTAGAAGCGCAGATTATACCACACTATAACCAGAGGTGCTGATTGTACCGCACGAGCCAGAGGTGCTGATAGTACCGCACGAGCCAGAGGCGCTGATTGTACCGCACGAGCCAGAGGCGCTGATTGTACCACACGAGCCAGAGGTGCTGATTGTACCACACGAGCCAGAGGCGCTGATTGTACCGCACGAGCCAGAGGTGCTGATTGTACCACACGAGCCAGAGGCGCTGATTGTACCACACGAGCCAGAGGCGCTGATTGTACCACACGAGCCAGAGGCGCTGATTGTACCACACGAGCCAGAGGCGCTGATTGTACCACACGAGCCAGAGGTGCTGATTGTACCACACGAGCCAGAGGCGCTGATTGTACCACACGAGCCAGAGGCGCTGATTGCATCATAGGATTCCAACTACGACCTGCCCTCTTCCCCAAGAATCTACTTCCCTCACCTGCGCACGGCCCTGACACCCCTATTACCGGCTGGACGCGCTGCCTGATTGAGTTAGCAGTAAGACATTCTCTCCATTTCTCCAAGACTTATATCACCGAATATAAAGGATCCAAGGCTAATGTCATGATAATGATTTTGAAGGTCGTGAAGGAAGATGGAATAAAAAAGAAAAGATTTAGTGATGTAGAGATGTACAAAGGAGTTTTAAATTGCTAGAGTAATTGTGTTGTCATGATAAAGGTTACTCACAGGGTCATGGAACTAGAACACCTTAAATACACACGCGCGGGCACACACACATTCCCCCTCTTTCTTCCCTTCCCTTCCTCCGACCTCGCATCTATTCCCACATCACTTTCCCCTATTCCCTGCTCTGGAAACCCTTAGCGCCACGGCTACCAGCATCAGGGAACGCGCTAATGAGCGACTCATCTCGCCAGCGAATGAATCTCTACAAAACTTGTTAGGCTTTATGGTTGCCGCGCCGTCTTTAATCAGCGTCTGGGCTCCTGCAATCCTCCTCCCACCTTGTTTACACCTCGGGGGGAGACAGCAATGGTGAGGAGGGAAGAAAAAGGAGGTTGATGTTCCCGTATCTCTTGTTATCCTCAAGCTTCTATGTACCGGTGCCTCAAGTTTGTACGTCCCGGTGCCTCAGTATTTAAGTTAAATTTGTGTAATAGATTTTATAAATTTAATTTAAAGGGACAAATTGTTTATATTTAGTAATAACCTTCATATATATATATATATATATATATATATATATATATATATATATATATATATATATATATATATATATATATATATATGACTGAAAACTCACACTCAGAAAAAAGAACTGAACTGAGTCTCATATAGTATATGTTTTTATTAAGGCCTGTCGGCCGTCTATCACTCCATCATAGGAGGACGTAATGTATGGGGGGGTTTGATAGGGCTGGTAAGAGCCCGACTTTGGTTAGAAGACACATAAAATGCTTTTTTTTCTCTCACTGAGTCTCATATAGTCCTGGGGACCATTCAGGCTTGTTCGCATATATATATATATATATATATATATATATATATATATATATATATATATATATATATATATATATATATATATATTTATATGTATATGTATATCACGAAAATAAACACGTGATTTAAAAATGTGACAATGTCAGACCACGGAGGAAAAATGAAACAGGAATTTCCTCAAGTACTTTCGTATATTAATACATCTTCAGAAGGAGTCTCTCTCTCTCTCTCTCTATATATATATATATATATATATATATATATATATATATATATATATATATATATATATATATATATATATATATATATATAATCTTCATCAATCAATCATCTTTTAAGGCACATGTTCTAGATACTTGAGAGCAGTAGTTCCCAAACTCTCTACGGTCATTACCACTTTTTCACATTGTCCTTACTAATGGTCTCCTACACTCAGCAAAAGGGTCTCTGGTATCAATCTGTACACTGCTTCAACTTGTGGTCCCCTACACATTACAAAATGGCCCCCAGGGGGCCCATGAACCTCAGTTTGGGTGTTTTAGGGCCTAAGCCGAGCGGCAGTTTTTTTTTAAACTTGAGTAAACAAATTTTTGTTCTGCACTGTAATCCTTCATACAGAATAGGGTAGCAACTTCTTGCTGCCCCATTCTATATAAAGGATTCCAGCGTAGAACAAAAAATTAGCCTAGTTCAACTAATATCTCCATCTCACAACATGGTTAGTTATACATGGAATCAAGAGAAAACACGAAACGCAAGTACTAGCATGCACTAGCGAACACCGAGTACAGCACAAGAATATCTTCAAATATTATCGAGTATGAACTTCTTAAAGAGCTCAAAGTATCTCATACCATTTAGTGTGAACCCATTGATAATATGAACATTCACAGATTCTGTGTCCAAGCTCTTGTTCACAGTTGGAATGCTCACCACTGGGTAATTAGCGTTTATTCTTATGCATCTGGGAGCTTCAAGATTTATCCTCGTAGCGTTATTTTGAATTTTCTCTAATGCTTTCACAGCCTTGTGCTGGGAAGTTATAAGGTGCAAGGCATGGTAGAAAATCTGGCCCTAATGCATATCAGTGTAGAACATTCTGGCATATTTAATATTAATACCAATGTGCTCTCTAGGAAGTGTTTTCAGTGGTTTTAGTCTTTCTTTAAGCCTAAGCTGTAGTTCGTTTACAATGTCGCCTAACGTCTGCGAACGATTTTATTGGACACGTCATCCATCTGCTCTGGTTAATTTATTAAAATGTTAGTGACATCTTGTGAACGTTGACACTAAAAGCAATTAAAAACATTTAAACTTACAAAGTTGCGTATTTTGTTAATGTTAGCCTACACTTTATTGACATGAGCACACTTTTTTGTCCAGACAAATTGATTAAAAACTCCCTTAATATGCTAAGTTAAAAAGTTCCAAATAATTCAACTTCAGGTAGAGGTATACAACGTTACTTCAAACTAACACCTGAACGAACCGAGATGCCCTAAACCACTCCATGAGGAATTAACGCACGCAAGCCTAAACAAGTATATTGAATAAATAAATATTCAGTAGTCATTTAATGATGCATTTATTGCATCAATACTTATTACTTATCCTTGAAAAATATTTACATCTATTTTAACGTAACGAGCAAGTGTTAATTTCTTAACTTGTGCGTTAAATTTCTGGGTTGCTTGGCCGGTACTCCGCACCTGGGGGTGGCAGTCTATTCCTCTTGGGGTCTGTTCTTCTCTCCAGATTTAGGAGAACATTGATAATGTGCGTTAGAGAAGGTCTATCGGTGGGGCATCGGCTGCTTGCTTTCTCTGCCAGCCTCTCCAGCTCTGGATACTTACCTTTCATCGACCTGTGTACAGTACTATGTATTAGATTGCCAAGAGAGTAAACGTCTACAGCTCTCGTACACACTGCACCGTATTTAAACATCTCGGGCGCTATCCAGGGAAAATTCGAGTTTGTTTCCCCTTCAATCCCAGCGGTAACTTGGCCAAGGCGCTTGGCGATGCCGTAGTCAATTATGGAAACTTCTGGCCATTTACCTAATTTTCCCTGGCGAATTACTACGTTTTCGTCTTTAAGGTCATTATGGATGATCATCTTGCTGTGCACCTCTGCAAGGGCCTGAGCGAGCTGCAAGATCATCCTAATACACCCGTGGTCAGTCTTTACCAAACTGCGTAAGTTCTGGAACGTACAAGAGCCGCAGTACGATATAACCAGTGCCTGGGGATCGAGGCACTTGCCGTACAAGATAGGAGCGCCCCCAGCTCCCGCCAGATGCAAGAGCACCTTCCCTTCTTCTGCTAACTCTGCTGGCGAAGTGTCAGCGTTGCCTACCTTGACACACCGCCATGTATCCTCATCAATCACGAGATACACTGTGCCAGAGATGCCCGAGCCCAACTTTCTAGAAACTTTTAATAAGTTGTGCACCCATGTCCTGAGTATACTCCTTTACCTCTATGTTCTCCATATTGAGTTATTTTCTTCCTAATGCACACGAGTTATCTATCAATTTAACTAAACTAAATATAAGGCAGCTGAATACCTCTAATTTTTTACTAACAGCAAAATGTCAAGGTCGTCTGCCAGTACAAGAGTTCCTTAATGTAAGAAACGAGTTTCGGCAACCTTTATCAAAGGTTGCTGGTAAAGGTATCGTGTCAAAGCAAAAAACCGTTTGCCAGAGTAAAACTTAAGCACGGCTCTAATCTCAAAATTCATACATTTGTAGTCACATTATATAATCTAAAATACTGCATGCAACTTCATGTTAATGAAAGTACAGCTTACGTTAAAAGGTTAATAAACTAATTAAAAACGTTAAATATGATATGGTGCGGTTACAGAAGAGTATGCTGAAGTTCTGAGGGAACATGAACAATAAAACATTGAGGAACACGACCAGTTGATTAATAATATCTTGGTTTCTTGTAGATGAACTGACCACGAATCATCTTTATTAATTAGGTTAATTTACGCAGTGGCTCCTTGAAAACTTCCCAGAGCAACTTTCTCAGAATTTACAGATGGGAGTAATATACGCCGTCGCTTTCCTAACTCGTAGGGAATGTTATTGCCAAAGTTCACTTGAGTCCACGCATCACATTCCTCATTTCGATCAACAATCGCTAGTTCTGTCTTGCTTCAGCACGTGCGCCCTTTCTATAGCTGCTTATGGGTTTTCTTTGTCGTTTGAAGTTGTGTGCGTGTCACCTGCATCATCAACCTGGAACAAACAACCAGTTTACTAACTGTTGCGTTATCTCGTGACAGCTGTGCTACTTCCTCAACAAACCTCTATACTCATGACAAGTTTGGAGATTGATGAAATCAAGTCCAGCTTGTCGAGGATAATAAATCCTAAGAGTAAAAAGTAATCGGCAATAATTGCACAAGACTGCGAGTCAAAGGATAGGTGCATGTTATGAATGAAAACCTTTTAACTGTCTTGCAAGACAATGAAAAAACTATGGTAGAGATTAACAATGGCCAAGGAATTAAGTGATGCCAATAATTCATTTCAATTGGTAACTGGTGTACGACCACAATTGTTTTTAGAATGTTATAAAATTAAAATAGGGATGTGCTTTACCGTTTCTAAAAAATAATGTTAACTAGTGTACCAAAACTATTTTCTTAGCTAAATTTTGGGATTCAGTTCCCAAGCCGAATAGGCCTCTAACTTTTTCTATTACCACCTACAGAAGGAGTATGAGGTGCATAATAAATTAGCCAAGTTCCAATCCTGACCCTTGCAGAGGAATCAGTCTCATGCAGTACCCAGGGCGAGGCGTCCTCCACAGCAGGAGGCATAATAAATCAACCAAACTAATAAACTTCACTGTGGCTGGAGAGCTGTAGTCTATGGGATGAACAGAACTGAACGAGAACAGCCCTTTCGTCTACCTCGACCTGCTGCAGAATATTAACGATTGTGAACCGAGGCTTCCCTTGCAAACAAGGTAACTATTAGGATCAAGGGAGATATACCAGTCGTGTAGCATTATGCTCGTGTGTGTTTACAGTAGTAATGTTCAAAACAAATGGTAACTACAGCATACGGCTGATCAAAGGTTCAAATGCCATTAGAGGGCTTTAAAAATGCAGAACTAAGCCTTGAGGATTCTTTGGTGCCCCGGCACCCCAAACGTGAGATTTTTGTTTACCTGTCATGTGTCATTGATCGTGTTACTGAATTACATTTTCTTATTGATATGAATATGCTTAGGCTAACTAACGCTTGCACAAAACCTTAACTTTTATTAAATGTCAACTGTTCTAAAAAAGAATTATTAAAAACTGAACTCTCATAATTTGTACAAGGGGGAGGCAATGCCACTTTCCTGGACCGTGAGAGGAAATTTCAAACCCTCCCTTTTCAAATCTTAATCCCTCCCTTACCAGTCAAGAAGCAAATTAAATTTCAGCCCAAACTTCATCTTTAGGCAAAGCTCAACGCATTAAGCCATGTTGCTAATATCCACAGTATCAATACGGATTTTCCTCTCAAACAATATACAGTACACTATTGGTTTCCAACACCACCCGACCGGTGGTGTAGGTATGGTGTACTACATCGTTCTGGCGTAGCTGGAAGTGCAGTTGTCCTGACCATGGGCGATTGCTTATTTTGGGTAGCGAGTTTTGCACTTTTTTTTAGGATTTGATGTCCAAAGGGCTTGGAAAAGATGAGGGAGGAAGAAGGATTGGGAGATTAACTTATTGAAGATGATTTAGATGGAGAACAACGAGGCTTGAAAGTTCGATGGCCTATCCACCATAGGTTGCCATGATGCTTTGATCTTGGAGCTTTGTTGATCTTTAATTCTTATTCCGCGGCAGGGGGCTAGTGTGACGGCTGGTGGTTGTCCTGGTTTAGGTGAGGTGCTCTTGTCTGGCTTGGAGGAGGCGTCTTCCCTATTGAGTTGGTGAACCTTTTCTTCTATTGACTGAGGTATTATATTCTATCATCGGGATAGGATCGCTTGAATAGTTTGGTAGTGGAATTCCTTCCGGTTCGGCGATTTCGGCAGAGAACGGGTTGTGGCCGCCCAAAGTTGTACCTCGGGTCGTAGTACTCTTAACTTTAGGACGGAGGTCCTGTCTCCAACACTTGACAGATTAACAAAGATCCTATATCTGTAATTGCGCTCAACTATCAGTTTTAACGTGATCGTGTCTGAAGCAAGACATTTATAATTATAAATGTCTTGCAATTTAATTATAAATGATGGCAACTGACCACTTCATGCGGATTCCATTTCACATCAATTCCATCTCAGGTTGGCCTCAATGCACAAGAGCTGATGAGAATGAAAGGATCCGCTTCCAAAGGAGTCGACTATCCTACAATTATCTGTAAACAACTTTGTAAAAATACAAAACCAACAAACCTTGTGGATCTGAGGCAGTGAAATCTATACTAGCAAGTCCATCTATCATGCTATCTATCTATCACAAGTCTATCTATCACATGTGCGTCATTCAATATCAGATTAGATGTTACACTACTACTGCTCGGCTTAGACTTCGAGTATCTTTGAGAATTTGCATTAACTGTTTTTTTCGACCTGACGTCAGCAAAAATTATTCACACGTCATAAACGTCACGGATGAGAAGTGCGAAAAGAAACGCATTTCGACAGTTCTAACAAGAAATGTGCTAATAATCAATTCTAAATTATGTGCTCCAGAAATTTTAGTCAAATATTCCTAGTTTGCTAACCTTTGGTAGTAAATGCAATGAACTCTTTCCAACGTCACTCAAGTATGGGGTGATGCGATTTGATTAAGCAAATCAAATTATGAAGCTTGCTCATCGCATATGCAAGTTGTTTAGCTTGAGATTATACTCGTGGTCGTTCTTCAGCCCGTTAATAATAGTTAATATTAACTTAAAACTGTAACTAGCTTATCAAGACTAACTTGGCAAAACGAATTCTGAGCTTCACTTATTGAGCCTATCAATCTTTGCCCACTACCGCCCACAGAATGGTTATGGGGATTCACTACCGCCCACATGAGGGGTATAGTGTCCACTACCGCACACATGAGGGGTATGGTGTCCACTACCGCACACATGAGGGGTATGGGGGATTCACTACCGCAAACATGAACAACTTCAGACACAATGGAGCAGGTTGTTGTTGTTCCATTAGATGTCCATGAGTTCAGTGGGTGTGACCAATACGGAACCTAGTAAGCTTTCCTGTCCATTATGGTGACAGGATGAAAGCCAAGGATAAAGTAGTTATAAAAAAACCGGCACCAAATCGGGAAGATTATGTAGTTCAATTTTGACAGGATGTATGAGGGCACTGTCCCCATACAAGTCGATCTGCCAAAGATTCCTATAGCTATATTCCTTAAGTCGTATTCGAGATGTGACAACGTATATCAATCTATTTACTGTTACTTGCCCAATATAAATGTTTTGTTTGATATTTCATTGTGACGAATAATGGATCTGAGAGTTCCCGTTTGCATTATTCTTTCTTCGAATTCGTCTGCGAATTCTCGTCTAATGACGCTTATGGTTCTATTGATAACCCAAGATTACGTTCAAGGTTTATTTACTGCAGCAACATCATGTCTCTGCAATCCAACGCAAGAGGTGATCAACTTTTTTTTTTTTTACTTTGAACCCCCTTAACTTTGCTTATATATCTGTCGTGCTTCGAAGACAAACACTTTACAATTTGGTTGCAAGGTATTTAATAGTGTTCAGGAAACCGCGTCTGAAATAATTTTTAAGCTCTCTACTACAGTTCTAAATTTGTAGTGCTACCATGACGGCCAACAGTTCAACTTGCAAAGTGGATACCCAGTTACCGATTCATTCTTTTTATTGTTTCCATCAGGGTGATGAAAAATATAGCACTTTCCGCCCTCTGTGTAGTCTAATTTTTAAGCTTGTGGACTGCGTGTTCTGGTGAACCTAATTTTGAAACAATCCGAGTACGAGGGTTGTGAGTGATTACTTTCTTGGTGGGGTATACTGGTGTCAGGATGTCAAAAGCTATTATTTTTCATGATGGTAGACTAGGTAGAAAGCCAGATAAGGAATACCTCTCTGGGAAATGTTCCGAACACGAATGACCTCAGCGACGACGTCAACTAAATTAAGAGATATCGAGGATGTAATGAGGATAAGGTTCTTGGTCCCAGTCGCAACACGGGACGGGAGGATGACTGCAGATGATGGCATTTTTGGAGACTTGAACATGGCAGCTAGACGGTCAAGGGGCCTCCTTAGAAGGGAACCTGAACACCGTGCGCGCGCCATGCAGTCTGGGTGGGATTAAAAGGTAATATTTTTAATCCAGTCAATTTATGTCCATGTTTGTAAGTCAGACTTTTAGCTACGTAGTGGGGCCAAACAAATCGTGGTATAGGTCGCAGTTAAGGGAAATTTGTGTCCCCGATCGAGAGGACGGCGCCAGACACCACCAGTAAGGAGGGGAGAGGGAGCAAAGTTGTAATGACTAAAGATGTTACTAGATGACGAGGTATTCACCAATGGGACCTTGAGAGTCGTCACTCCCAAGGAAATGGTTGGGTAAAGTCGAAGATGAGCAGGTTGAATCAAAGACAGTTATTTCTGGGCCCAGGCCCAACTTGACTGGGAATATGGAGCCTAATGTTACATATCTCAGTACGACTCTGGCAGGGATTGGGGGCGGGGCCGTCCCAAGAGCTGGGAAAGGGAGTTCGTTTACCATGTTTTTGTTTCTTAATGTATAGGCCCCTCAGCCAAGGGTTGCTTTCTACAAGGGGAGCGAGTACATTGTCTCTGAGCACGTTAAGCACCTGGAAGAACCGAGGACACTACAAACACCAGGGCGACGTGTCTGGAAAAAAGTTTACAGCCACCATCTCCCTAGTGGCCTGGACGGGTACCATGCACACCACCTGTACCAAGTATATACAACGGGCTCACCATAGCCAGGTGTTGCTTGGAACTTTTTGTTCAGAGTAGCTGAATCTAAATCATCGACGGAGACAGGAAGCTGGCGACTTGTCAATTGTCCGTCCCCATTGTTCAAGGATTTTTTTCAATTTGGAGTTTAAACAGGAATAATGACTTTGCATTTACGGCTTCAGCTGGTAGGTTGGACACGAGTTTATGGGTTTATACTATGAGTGGGAAAAGCATCCGTTTTCTGTCCTGCATTGTGGTTGGTCGAACTTTAATATATTGCCCCTTGTACGCGTTATATTTGATTTAAAAGATCTGGATTAATTTTCTCCAACTTCGCTCAGTATTTTAAAGTCCCGGCATGAACCCTGTTGTGTGCAGGCGAGCCTCGCACCCCAGCCAGACGAAACCTGGAGTAGGGGGTGGGGTCCCAATGGTATCATGGTATCACAGTGGGTACGAGTTTATAGAGAAAATTAGCAACTATAATTTAGTTATCAGGCTGGTAGAAATTATTAATAAAATTTCACTACGTTAATTTTTTGCTTAATTCTGGGTTAGTTAAATTCAATTACATCTGTGTTCATAATTGTTAAGTGTTCGAACACATTTTGTACTTGGGAATATACTTCACTACTGTTCCTACTACCCTTATCCCCCCCCCCCCCTCCCTCCCACCTGCTTAATCCCGAGAATACATTAACAATTCCAGCTGTGTCTACCAGCACGCCGCAGTACTGAATTAAATTTAAGCCTCTGTGTCCCTCCCATTTCATTTTAATGCACATCTCATACTGCATTGCTTTCTAAATTGTGCACTAGAGCAATTCTATTGCCCCGTCACACCAGTGGAACTAATCAGAACTGCAGCTGCCGGCGGCTTCACCCATTACCTTCAAAATACTCAAGTCTTCAGTTTAATTTATTATGCACCCCATACCCATCCTGTAAGCGATAGTGAAAGTGTTACACACACACACAAAGGGCTTAGGAACCTCACAGTTTGTTTTACTAAGCAAGTTACAGCACTGGTGATCTAGTTACAGAGTTAACATGGGCATCGGGAGTACTCGGTGTATCAAACTTAGTGGTGGTAGTATTCTATCTTTCACTAAGTTACTGTGAACCCCGTACCTGTCCAGTAGGGGACAACTTAGGGTCACAATCATTATTTAACTTAAGCGCTTGACATTGGTGATTTAGTAACATTGTAATTTGCCTGTCATACACCCCTGCACCCGTCCAGTACAGGCGGCAGTTTTTATTATTATTATTTTCTACTACGTGGCCACACATTTACAATGCTAACTAGCATATATACATTTTCTTCTGTCCTCCATAGATAGGGTGAAAGATTTGTTAAACATACAGTTCAGAGATTTATTAAACAACCACAGAAGATGATCGTAGTGCTTTTAAAATGTTAGGCTAAGCTACATACGTAAATACATAGATACAGAGATTTATGAATGCATTAATGTGAATTTATAATGGTGAAATGTAATTCTGATCAGCTTTATACTTTATACACATATTTGTCAAGTTCAAGTAAGTTTATTGAGACACGAAAAAAATACATCTCATAGGGATAGAGTAGCTTAGGCTATTTCTACCCCCCCAGGGGCCAGATTCACGAAGGTACTTACGAATGTTTTCCTTCTTAGCGCCTTCGTGGGTATTCAGGTAGCTACACTAAGTCGAAAAACCTTCCTAAGTTTGGTCCGGGATCTAAGTGTGGTTTCGACCACTCGTAGCTTTACGTAAACTGGATATAACTCAATTTTTCTCTACTACACAACACTGGGATCGATTTTAAGATTTTGGAACAAACAAAAGATTATATAAATTGAATCTCGTGAACCTCCGTGTTAGTTATATATGCATTCTCTGCTTGAAACTTTGAGTAAATATGTCTTATGATGTTAGAATTATTTTTATAATAGCAAGATATTATACCCATAGTTATTAAGTAAATAAACACTGGTGAACATGAAATATGAGAGAAGGTGATGAGCCCAGCCTGATGGGATCATTTACTATCACCAAATGCCCCTGTTCACCTAGTAGTAAGGGTGTACCTTATCTATACTTACTCATTTCTAATTTATTTAGTTTGGTTTTATTTTTAAATTAAATCTGGGTGAGACAAAATAAAAATATGCTGCACAAATGATGTTAGGTAAGGAGAAGGGTTAAAATGTCAAAAACTTTATTCATTGAATACTTAAAGCTATAATTATGACTATATGGACTATTAAAAAAGAGAGAGGGAAGTAGGGGTCGAAGACCTCTTCCTGTTGGGCGTGGAACAAGTAATTATCAAAAGAAGGCACTATGCCGGGAAGGCTATGTAGCAGTAAGGCAGTGAGGTGAGGCAGCTACTTATTTGAGAAATGCTTATTTTATTTACCTTACAAGCTGAGGCAACTTATTTTATTTGAGGAATACTCAGCTGATTCCTCTACATTTAGCATGGAACAAGTTTGTGTCCAAGACCTCTTCCTGTTACACAATTTGGTTGTGT